AAGCTAAAATTACAGAAAAGTTGGACTTAAGCCTCTAACGGGATTGGGAATCTTGACTCCGGCCAAAATGGACTTAGCTCGTGTCCTCAGGCGGGCATATGCAAATTTTCATGATTGCTGGAGATCACCGAGTCGGGCTGTCGCAACTGGGCAGCGCGAGAGCCACAGTCATCCGATCTGTGCGGAGAAAAGAGGGCAAGTATTGGCATCTAAATTTAAAACGACCGACAACTTAATACCCTTTGGAGGTGTGAAAGAGAGCTGGGCTTTGAACAGTTTATTCGCGATTGGGTAGGACTCAACTTTGCATTTTGAATCAGGAAGGGGACTGGATTCGTGAATTGCAATCTCTGGAAACCGACTGTAGAGGAGGAAAGATTGAACGATTTTGCGAAAATTGCTGCAATCCAGCTAACCAAATTTTGGTATGAAAATTCACACTCTGTAGGCTTATGTTTGAAGGCGAGGTTGGGCAAGGAGACAATGGAAGGAATAGCCACCAATTTGTGCAGCCGGACATTTCGTTTCAACGGAAATTTTGTTCGAAAGAGAACTGGATTCGTGAATTGTCGACTCCAAAAAGCGATAGAGAATAGTGTTTAAAATAAAGAATGCAGGATTGTGCGAATCAGTCCTCTGCTCATCGTCCTGCTGACTTTTTTTATATCTCCGTGACAGATTTAATCAGATTGAGACACGATTATTTAGAAAAAACACATAAAATATAAGCCATCATACGCGGCTCTAATATTGTCACATGGTTATGCATAGAGTATTGCGCATTGGGTGTATGCATTGTCTACTAATAAAAAGTGTGACAGCCATGACCATATTAGGGGCTATTTGAGCCTCCTTTTTACGCTAGAGTCATTCCTACTAATTATCCACCTTTACTAAATAGTTTTCCTTCATTTTTACAAACTCATTCCTTCTGTTTAGGAAATTGGCTCTTGTTTTAATTTATATAATTTTTAAGATTAATTCCATTTCGAGTGTGCGTTGGGTGAAGAGATTCGAGCTCTGATATTCTCTGCTTAAAAGGTTGCCACGTAACCTCCACATTGGCATAAACACATGTCCACAAGGCCTTGTAACACGCTGAACTAAAAGAATGGTTCGAAAATTCTATTCCGCAAATCAACGGAATGTAGAAATTTCCCATAAAACATTCCTACGATGTCCCATATATTAAGAAGTTCACCTCCTTTTTTCACAATCCTTCGTGACAGCAGAAGCAGAAATCGAGTAGTCAATCTGTAGCTACGAAGAGAAACTGGGTTTAATGAATATCTTGAGATAACATTGCTGGTGGGACTTTCATTTCGTATGAAAGTGAATGAAGAAGAGATTCGTTGGTCGATCTCACCAGATGACGAAGGATAAATCTCGTTTTACTGCAGCCGTTTGGCTTTTATATGATATTCATGTAGACTCAGTCCATCTGCCTATCTGCTCTAAGTAGCACTTGTCTCTCTTCCCATTTATGGATATTACAACCTATTTATATACTAATATTAGTTGATATATGGTTTGCATTAACATTGCCCTTTATCTACCAATTTCCTCATCTTACACATTTACATCTACCATACTCAGACTCCTTATTAATATCGATCGCATAATTCACACCTTGTCCCCATCTGCATAAGCAGAATGGCGGTTAATTAGGGAACCTGCGTGTGTGGATTACTTGTGCTCAGCTCTACCAAACCTGAGGCCTGGTCACAAGGACATTCAGAAAGCATAGCTCACTCTCCTTTTTCCACTTAATGCTCAACAAATTCCACAAATCTACACTTGTCCTGTTGCCAGACAGCAAATTAAGTGTCGATATATTCCCAACTGGCGATGTGTGAACTAGCAGCTCATCTTGAGTTAGTCTATGCTGCGAGCCTCTTCTTCTGCTTTGTTCATATTGATTAGTTCAAGTTTGCAGATGCAGTGTTTTTTAAATTCATTATTAACGACATACATAGCATTCTGCAGAAAGCATGCATCTCCTCCCTTGATGAATGGTGCCATCATAGCTCCGCTGTCTTTCTGATTAACACTGACTGGTAGATAAAAGTTCAGATCAACCCAAGAGGAATCAGATATAGCCTCATCAATAGCAGCCTTAATTTGAACAAATTGAGATTCACTGATTCTAATACCTTCAGAGTGTGAAGCCTCCTTAAATTTCGTTTGCAGATATAATCTGGGATCACTTATACCAAGTCGCTTAATAAAACCCCATTCAACGTAGCCATTTTGCTCGAAAAATTTTGTAATATATGTATCCTGAGCGTGTACAAAGCAAGAGGGCACAAAGACTCCTTCACTAGCCACAAGACTTCCCATCACTTCGCCAGATATAATGAGTCCCTCTAGAAGAAAAATGAAGATACGCTCAGCAAGATTTAGTTTTGCAGACGCGACATTGACTGTTACTGGCCCTATAAGAGCGGTACAGTATCCTCTTATCTTTGCTCTAAATTCATCCAAATATACATCTGTGTAGATAGTATCGCTATCTTTGTGGACATTACACATGTGTTTGTCAACTATATTGCTGACCAGGTGCGTGGATAAATCGAATATTCTAGAAATGTCGATTAGTGTAGTGAATCCTCGTTCTTCCATCACATCTTGGATTTCACGAACAACGCGGATTATATATGAGTAAGTAATTACTTCACCGGTTAGTCCCATTATCCTATTGGGATTTTCGCTATTAACGTCTTGACCAATTAGATCAGCGGTCCTACTCTCA